GTCACACTCTTTATCACATTGAGCAGCGTCTCCTCTCGGATCACCAGGTCGAACAGCTGCAAAAGGAGATCGTCATCTGTGAGCCATCAGCAAACATTCGGAGAACACGGTCACAAATCAAACGAGCTCTCTTACCAAAAAGCTGTAGAAGAACTCATGAACAAAGAGGCCCAGGACGCAGATGATGGCATACCACAAATGGTAGATAAAGAGCATGTCCATCACGACTGCTTTGTAGCCTCGAGTGAACGTCCCCTGGTTCCCCACAAAACTTACAAGAAACACCAACTTGTTGAAAAGCTGAAAATGGAATAAAAACAAAAAAACTTGTATGTGTGAAGAGGCAAGAACAGACACATTCTTCAAAAACAAGCCTTTGTTCACTTACGTTGACAGCACCGAGCAAAAGCAGCGCAGGGCCGAGGCCCATTGTGTAGATAGCACGCAGAATAAGGGAGACCAGGAAGAACCCGATGCCTATTGGTTTAGGTAAGACGGGAAGCAGTGCGGTGAAGACTCCCAATGCCACCCACAGTAAGATATTCCAGAATGGGGATAATGTGCCTGTGTGGAAGAATAAACAATCGAACAAGGCACAAAACATCAATGCTTTAAAGCACAACATCCCTCTAATGAATTATTTATCTGAGCTAAGAGCTCAACTTAGCAAAGAGTCAAAGGAAACACTTTAAAAATGTCAAACAACCATCCATGGGGACAGCATCAGTCAAAACAACCAACTCTTCTTCAGCTCATTGAGTAAATCAGCAGAGTGATGCTCATGGGTCTTTTGGAAACTGCAAAGTGCTGACAATTCATTGAGGAAGTATTTATCAGAAAGCCATCTTTAACACTTCTGTACACCACAGGAACCACGTGTACAGTAGGTTTACATTTCAGCGAATTACACCAAGGCAAGCCAGCAAATACAGCAAGTTCTAGTAACATTTCGCAAAAGCTAAAATTAGGTAATCTAACATTGCACGTAAAGAAATGAATTTTCAAGAGTAAAATAGGATGATTATTGGGTGATTTAACTTCATCTGATTAATTAGGTCTCATGCTGATGCCAGGCTGAGGGCGATGACATGAAGTCGTATCAACATACCGATAAAAACGATTAAAGTCCAAGTTGTCCCACCTCAAAACGATATCATGATGACGTGTGAAGGATTTCCTTTAAGCACATTTTGTACACACCTACTGATTCTTATCCAATTAGATACTGTATGTTAGATAAATCACCAGCGTTCATGGGACTCTGAGTGACCAAGGTGTTTAAATAAATGCAGCATCACGTGTCACAGAACACGCATTTTCAGTCATAAAAAGAAAGCAATAATCATTAATAATTAACATTCCAAAAAAAGAGAATTGTTATAGACTTACTTTACTTGAAAATTAATACATTCAAAGTGTTCTTCCATAGGTTTTTTAAAAATGATTAAAACTGCTTGATAAAACAGCTGTAAATAGATGATGCAGTATACCTGCGCTTAAAATCAGACAGATGCATAAAAAGTCAATTATTTCTGAATTATTTAACACTATGTCTGCTGCTAAGCTGGGCTAAAGGCCTTCTGATTTTCAAAAAAACATCACCCTTTCCTCAAAATCTGTAAGAAATTACGCCTAGTGAAAACAGTCACTTTGGAGAAGAATAGACAGTGACGTGGGCTCTTGGCCTAATTTTTTTTTAAAAGATCTGCCTGTTGCTCATTGCGTTGTAGCTGATGGTTGCACAGGTTTTCCTCATGTCACATGTCTCATGCTGTATTCACCTCATTTGCCCGTCTCAAAACTGAAATTAGTTTAAATAAATGGCCCTTTGCCAACAGTTGCTTTAAAATTTGCCACATTTCTTTCTTTCTTTTCATCACATAGCCACTAGTCTCTTTAACTCTCTGTGTGTACGCCTCTTTATTTTGCATGCTTGACTCCCTTAGAAAAATAATAAAATCCCCTCATTATTTTAGTTGGATAATACT